TCGAATGCTCTGGTAGCGAAAATGAAATGCGTGTTCAGAGCGATTCTCAAAGTCAGACGAAAATGAATGACTGATTTTCAGAAGTAAATGAACATTGTAGGAAATTGGGGCCGGGAAAATCTCTATTTTATAATGAATGGTAATATACGAAATAAGGAATGAAAGACGAGAGAATAATAACACCAAGTACACAATACAAATCCATTACCTGCTAATGGTGGGAGCGTTCTGCTTGATACCCTGAAAACGAGGTTGCCACAGACGCTGCTCGTCGAGCAGGGTCAGTTGCTATTAGTGGCTACAATCATAACGAGTTAATTGTTCTTTTCCACTGTTCGGCATTTTGAGTGGTTTGGTCAGCTGGTTTGAGCCAATACCAGCCATCCTCATGTCATCAGTAAGTTGTTGGTAGGTTCGCATAAGTGCGCCACCACTACGGTACGGTTCTGTCAGTAGGTTCATTATTTTTGCGAAGCGTGGTTGATGCTGATGATGTGACATTACTTCGGCGATAAAGTTCAGCATTTGTGATGCGCTCGGGGTATCTGACATTTAGTGCGTGACGCAGTAGAGCTCGATGACGCGTCGATGCATGTTTTCTCAAGCGTTTCTGTTAGCGTCCAACTGGCCCCACTGTAGAAGAGCACCGACTCAATGCACGCGGCAAATAGTTTGACCTTGAGGTGATCGCTTGCTGAACAGGTCCATACAGGAAATACGTCACACGCATGCGTTGTTCATTCAACGAAACGGACAAATATGGCGGTCGGACAACGGAAATCTCAAGTGGAGTTAAAAGTTAACTTAATTTGAAGTTTAGGCCAAAAAAAAAAATAAGTCGGTCTCTGGTCAGCGCGCGCGTCGATTTTAATCATGCGCGTCGATCTTTTTTTTCTTCAAAATGTTCCGCAGTAGCTCCAACAGCGCCCTCTATTTCCGCACCTCCTCAATTTTTTTTACCAAAGAGCACCAAGGAATGGGAAATTGCACCAAGGCAAATGATCGAAAGCACCAAGGCAAATTACGGAGGACACCAATGTACATGAGGACACCAAAAAAGCAAAATAGTACCCCACCTTGTCTGTACAATCCAAGCTTGAAAAAAAAAAAAAAAAAAAAAAAAAAAAAAAAACCGCGTGGCCGCGTCAATTCCGGAACTTTGGTCTGACCAGAGACCGAATATTTTTTTGTGGCCTTAAAGGTATTCATTTATTGAGTTCATTGCGACTTCAGATTGAGGCTAATTCCAGCCAAAGTTTTTGGAGTTTTGCAACGCACTGAAATTAAAGGAGTCAATCTCAAACTAATCTGAAATGGGCCGTTTTGTGAGTGGTTAAGACCAAAAGTCTATCGGCGGACTTGCTAACTAAGCTATGGGACCTTTATAGTTCTCGGGGAAGAGTGGTTCTCAATTAAGAATATTCTTCGATTTTTAATATTGGTTGCTACGTTTATTACTTATTTAATTGTGATTGAATTACTATTTTCGAAAAAACGGGATGCGCAAACGATGCTAGGAATCCTTAATTATTTTCAAACACTTGTCCTTCGCCTTTCTGGTATATAATAAAATAGGGCAGACACTAAACGGATATGTTTTCCATTTTCATTTTAAAAAGTATGAAATTAGTGCCGAAATGGGGGGGGGGGTGGGACTATTCAAAGATTCTTAAAAAAATGTCGAAAATTTTGAAATGAAAATAGAAAAGTTGCGACCATGTAGCTAGCCGATGTAGCTTAACTACAGGGGTAGGGAGACAACCCCCCCCCCCCCCCTTTTAGACCTGCAGCTGCTCGCCCTCACACCTCGTGCCATCCGCTCAGAATTCGAGAAAGACAAAGTGTTTTCATTGTAAAAAAAAAAATATGGATGCCCCCTCCTGCAGAAAATATCCATGGGTTCCCCTTGCGAACTTAACCCACTGCTGCGTGGATGGCGTCCTAAACTATACAAAATGTGTTAGCCTTTGTGAGATATAAGGTAATTGTAGGAGGGCGCCCTCCTACTATCATGTCCGCCATCATAGTAGAGTTTAGGGTGCAGATATGTAAATAGGCCCAGAATTGCCTACGCGAGCCAAATCACAATTTAATTCTCAGAAATTAGAGCATATTGATGGCCGTGAACTTCAGGATTTATACAAAAGAAGGATGCAAGCCGTGCAGAGGACTGTGAGCTCGGATTTCTGTGAAATTTGGATGAAATTGGGCCATACAATGGCTCTATTTTGCAATGGAGCGTAGGCGTCCATTTTCAAAATGGCGATGGGCTTCTGGACCGCTGTTAGGTGTGATCATCTTTGGATGGAATTTTCTCCCAAAAGTTATCAGTTAAACCCCCCCTCAACCCCCCCCCCCCCCCCCCCAACAGAAACTGACAGATTATGAAATAATTAAGCTTCAATTTGATGGGTGTCTTAAACACCAAGGAGAGCTGTGAGTATTTTTAAATTATTTTTGGAAGTACGCGTATAGGGTCTATGGGAGTGGATTCGCAGGTCTGCATCCTTTAGGGGCAACAACACATACGGACAAGAACACAAGGACAAAATGCCAGGACCAGGTTTCTTTACACTATATGCTTCAACTCATTTTATATCACCACAGAGAGCTTCCCCATGCCTCACTATACACAACCATGCATGACAAGCCGTTTAGAGAACTTAATTATGCACTTAAAGATATAAGGGTTACGATGCATGAAAGAATAGAACTCTATATCGGTTTTTAATTGACTACAAGGTGTTCAAGATAGGAAGTAATCGCATTGGTTGTTTTTAGATGCATAATGAGAAAAATATTTATAGACCATTTTGCTCGGTAGCCATCTTGGAATTCCAGTGCATATTTTTTAACAGGGATGCGCAAGAGGAGAACATCTGAGAAAACGTTATGAGTTGAATAAAAAAAATTGAAGATTATGAAGATGGCTTGTGTAAAAGAGTCCTTGTCATACTTTGAGGATATTGTTTTGACAAGCGTTCAGCTAAGACGGAACAGAATGAATAAGAAGAGTCAGCTTGCTATGTTTTATAACAACCTCTGACACTTTATTCAATGCGTGTGGACGTTACAACTAGATATATCCAACAACTTAGATTGATTAAAACTGACTATCAATTATAAATCTTGCAGAAGTCGGTTTTTTTCCCGACTAAGGATAGATTGTGGTTTAATATTCATGAGATCAAATGTACCGGGAGTCCACAATCAAACTTGTCAAGATTTTGTCTCCAGTTTCTGTTTAGACTTTTACACTGCACAAATTGTGGCGTAAATCACCACGCGATTATGTAGATCATAACTTTCGTACAATATTCACAGCAACAATGAAATTAACCGACACCATGTGCTCAGTATCAAACTTCATTTTTTTGCAGTATTACCTAACAACTGTTGTATGTTAAAACTTCATTAATTAAACAACAAACACATTAATTCTTCATTTCTACCTAAGTCTTTTTATTTAAGTTAGCATGCCACGTGAAATAATTTTAGTCAAGCAAAATAATGTTTAATATATTATCTTGTAATGTACATTATAGTGTCATCCTACTGGTTTTCATTTACAAACTTTACATCACATAAATATTACTTTGACATATATAGAATAATATATAGATCTTTATTCGGTGTTTCAAATAGTGCTTTATTTTCGTCTACAGCGATATACATGACAAACTAATACAAAAGCGGCACTTATTTCGGCAAGAACACGTATCGGGTGTTGCTTTTGTTTTTTGACTGGTGAAAGTACAGGACACGTGCTAAAACAAGATCACATTGTATAAAGCCATATTTGTGCTTTAAACAACCAGCTGCATTCCATACGCGAACAACACTAAAGTTTCGTTACGTTGCAACGTTCCAGAGCTTTTTTTTGGGGGGGGGGGTGCATATCAACTTGGAAATTTTCGCAAAGCTTGGCAACGTTCGTTTATAAAGCGAAACGCATCCCCGTTTCTTCTTGACCCGCATAAACAGAAAGCATACCCTCTTACACGCTTGTCACATCAATAAACTTCATGCTTTTTGACGAAAGTAACATCTAATAGATCGTTTGCACTTTGGCCATCTTGGAGGTATGCAGTTTTGTTCAACGTGGACATATAGGAGTGGACGTATATTGCGCATTCGTTGTTAATGCATTCACTTAAAAACAGACCTCAGAGATGGCGGTGAATGCAGTGGATCTATACAAACTGCGCTAACTAGGAAAAGCAGTGTTAAAAACTAATAATTCTAAAAGCCATGTTATACAAAGTGTTAGTTGTTGAAGTAATGGTGTGATTTCAAAATATTTGACGAGAAAAAAAAACAATACTGAGAAAAAAAAAATTCAATATCTAAATTGATTTTCCACATACCATTTGCCATATCTTGGGAACAGAAGTATACTGCCTACAGATAGGCTAGATTTTGATTAAGTACCATGCCGTTGATAACCTTTTGAATGCATCATTTTTCCGCAGGAACAATTTTGCCTCTAAAAGATTTCTATACCTACATTATATACTCTGATGGGAACATGCATTGCGTTAATAAACTTTTTATTTTATTATTAACAAATCCCTTCTTAGACTTTACACATATTATTTATGTACAAGTACTAAGGAAGAACACTGAGTAGTCTGAGTCTATTTTATGTTTAATTAATTTAATTGTTACTTACTCAAGGTGAACACAAACATAATTTGCCAACCTTACAAAAAGTTCAAAAGACAATTAAGTGCCTCCATACATAAGAAAATACCACCAGGGTTCAAGCAGGCCGCCATAATCTTCAAACTTTTTTTTAAAGATGAAGAAATTGGGAGACGTGTGTAATATGTGATGCCTGGTGAATGTGTTACTGACGGGAATGATGGAAGTACAACTTGATTTCAAACACGGGTCCTACACACAAGGATTAACGACTGTTCTGAGCTCTAATACAAAATGCACTGACCGGACTTGCCTAAATTGGTTAGACGCGTGATAACGGGCATTAATACCCGTTGACTTGTAATCGCGAATTTTCCATGTGTGCCATTGTGTCCTTTTTTGCATGACATCTAAAACGGAAATATTCATAAAGCTTTAAGCAAAACCACTCCTTATGTAAGATATAATATTATTGTTCAAAATTGTGAAAAAAAAAACACTTCAGGATATAACAGACGGTATTGTGCAGTTTTTTGTCGTCATAGATAAGTATTTACCCGAGAAATAAAAGTCAAATTTCAATAAAAAGTTTTAGAGAAATGTCATCCCGAACCGATAAAACAAATGCGACATTTCATTGTTCATTTTAAAACTAAAGATATAGTGCTCGGCATTAACATAGTTATGTAGTTATCACTTATCAGAATTCAATTATAAAGACCAAAACGTAGACTCATGAATATTCAAAAATATAATTAGCTGGCTTGACAGACTTCGACAACAGATCGGGCGCAGAGCCCAGCAAATGTGAAAGCCGCCGCGCGCAGGGGTCTTTGTTGACAAGTATTCATGGTATTTGCCACCAGTACGGGCCGTTATCGGGTGTCTAACCAGGAGTTTGACCGAGTCGTTAATCCTTGTGTGTAGGATCCGAGTTTCAAAGAAGCTGCAGTAGATACGTGGGAGCCATCTTGGAAATGGTTACCGTAGCAACGGTGTCAGAAGTATGTCTTTTGACCTTTTTGTAAGGACAATCTAGGACATAATTACACTAAATAAAACAACAAAATTCGAGCAACAACCTGACGAGTACACCTAGGATAGGCCTATATGCTTACAGTATCGTCCAATCACCAAACATGACACAGGTGATTTTACCTATGATAAAGAAACCATGATTTTCCGTTCAGACTGTGATGGGATACTGCACATTGAGGTACATGTATTCCGAACAGATAATGCTCCTCAAGTAAAGCTTATGTTAAACGCCTCAACATAAAATGGCTTTTTCTATGATGGTGCGTTTTTGCGGACTTTGTAGTCCTTGCTGTTTAGGATATTCAACGTTGTTTTGAGTAGTGACGCCAACAGATCCTTCTCAATTTTCTGTCATCAGTATTGATTTAGAACAGTGGATAAACTGTACTCGGTGCAGAGCTGTGTTTGCGTGTTCTCTGACATGGAATGATTTTTTTTTTGGAATTGAGTACGCATCATTATTTCAAGAACGGCAACCAACATACATTTAGAAGGTTGAAAGTTGGAAACATTTTGTTTCTGCCAATATGCAAAGGATCTGTAGGCGTGAATGGAGGCTGAGGGTGGGTTCGGGTGGGTATTAATATCCATATGGATATTTCTGTTGACCATACTTCTCTTCAAACAGTTGCCCAAGTTTGCTCCAGATGTCCGGATCCTTCCAGTCTATGTTCTCTTCATCCTGATCAGTCCATCCATCCCACGGGTCCTGACCCACCGGCTCACCGTAGAACTCGTTTTCCCCGTACCAAGGCTCCCCGCCATCAGGGTAATAGAACGCTTCTGGTATGTCCCTGGAGTCCTGTAGGCCATCGACCGTCAGTGGCGGCAGTACTGCGTTGTCCAGCGCTGCCGGCATTTCTAAGATGTCATCCTCTCCCTCGGTTTCATCTTCATCTTCGTCTTCGAGTTCCTGGTTTGCCTCTTTGTTGATAGCGTCCTCTAGATCTTCAAGGAGCTCGACCTCTTGACCCAAGTCCAGGTTTCCTCCCGCCTGACTTTGTTCAAGCTTCCGCTGCTCCTTCTCCTCGATTTCTTGCTCCTTCTCGGCCTCCAGGACGGCTTGATTGCAGCTAGACTTGGACTTGGCTTCCTCGATGTAGGTGCCTTCTTTGGTGCCGTGTAGCACCAGAGTCCACTCGGTCAGGGTGGCGACGTGCGGGCTGCCGTCTGCCATGGCTACCTCGAGCACCCACTCGCCCCGGGGGTCTTCCCCCCAGGTGTGGGAGGTCATGAACGGCCAGCGCTGGAAGCCGTCGATCACGTCCTCGTCGGCTGGACGCTCACTGAGCAGGATGCTGTGGGTTCCCATTGGGGACGTCAGATAGATGGTCACGTCACCACGCCGGGTGCTGTTCAGGGTGATGATAGCCTGAGTGTGTTCCAGGTAGTTCACCATGTTGTCCTGGCCGTCGCAGGCGTCAGTGGTGAGTCGCAAGACCAGCTTCTCACCAGAACGACCGTCTGGAACTTGACTGGAATTTGAAAAAGAAAGCAACGTGAAGGGCATCCCGTTATTTCATATTATGTTCTGTGCACTTGTGATTCAAGAAGCCATAATCTTCTTATTTCGACTGTTTAGGAAACGATGCAGAGTAGTCTACTTTTCCCTTTCCCCTCTGGGTATTTGTGAGAGCCATCCTTATGTCAATGTGTTCAACCCCCGCCCCCCGCCCCACATCCATCCCACCCCCACCATCATCAACAAATTCGGTTGGAGATCCGTCCATGTCTGACTTCAAGGAGTGTATAAGCTCACCTGACGCCCTTGTAGGTGGCCCCTGAACAGTGGAACCGTTCCGGCACTGTCTTCCATTTCTCGGCCAGCTCCACCATGGCTCCGGCGTCCAGTACGCCAAAGCCGAACAGGTGGTTGAACTCCAGGCCCACCCCGTTGCACTGCCACTGGTAGTTGTCGTCGTAGAGCTGATTGCGCTTGGAGGTCAGGACGGTCAGGTGCTGGATATCCCTCCAAGTCAGGCTGGGGCTGTGAATGACAATTCAGACTCAATTAACGCAGATATTGGTTAACATGTACATTACTAATAGGCAGGTCGTGGGTTCGAGTCTAACCCAAATAAACTGTCGGACAGCACCGAGTATGCAGTGCTTACAGAAATTACGTCTAACCAAGACTAAGTTTACCTTTTACTTCGGTCTGAAGTTATAACTCAACCTGGACCTAAACATCACTCTGAATGTCCCGGATGCAGTGACTTGAAAACTTACATGTTCTCCGTACTTACTTAGCTTCTAGAGCCAGAGCGAAGACACCAGCAGCCTCAGGTGCCGCAGCTGATGTGCCCGAGTGAGCTAACGTGCAGTTACCGTACAAATCCGTAGTGGCCTGGAAATAATGAACATAAGTGGTGAAATAAATAGAAGTAACATGGATGATATCCTACTGTCGTGTATAATTTGCTTGGTATGGCATGATGCATGCGTCGCTGCCAAAAAAAGTCACTAGAGCTGAAGGAGTTTTATACGAAAAGAAACCTACGGTGATAACATAATATCCAATATGATAACCACTTCATGCAGAGCAGCTGCTTCAGCTAGACATGCATTAGCGGAAGCCTTTTTTTTACGCAAGTCGTTGTAACTGAATTAAAATAACGAGTACAGCCAAGTCTATTCTTCTCATGCGAGGACTGGAGCATGCTAGTTGTGAGGGCAATCTATCTGAGATGACCATAACCAGAACATCATCATGTATAATGTGTTAACTATACAAAACCCCGGCCGCGGCTGCCACGTTCAAACCTTATGAAAATACTCCAACCATTGGTATCACGTGACACGACATGGTGTCTCTGTACAGGGTGTTCCAAAAAAAAATGCTCCACTCTCCTTTTTTTTTTTACAAATTCAAGCAAACCTGAATGCATTAATTTTCTTATTATGCATGGTAAAAATGCTATGTGTCTTGGTTGTTATCTACCCAAAAAATTGGATCATACTATCAATCCACTAGGGACAGAAATGCTTTGTAAAAAAAATTGTAAATCAACCACACGTAACAATTGTTCACCTATGGCTGATTGTTCACAATTGTTACGTGTGGTTGATTTACAAATAGGTATTTTAGTCAAAGTCCAATAAATGGACAATGCCATGGTTAGTTGGTTTTCTCTTGTTTGCTTGACAACAAGTGATGACTGGTCTTTCATAATAGATACCAAGTAGAATTTTTGAAAAGCACACTTGACAAAAATCGATATTTTTAAATTGGTGATTTGAGTCCCCAGCGCAGTTGGCAAATGGAGGCGAGTTCATATTTAAGCATTGCTGTCCCTAGTGGATTGATAGTATGATCCAATTTTTTTGGTAGATAACAACCAAGACACATAGCATTCTTACCATGCATATAATAAGAAAATGTATGCATTCAGGTTTGCTTGAATTTGTAAAAAAAAAAAGGAGAGTGGAACATTTTTTTTGGGACACCCTGTATATAGTAAAAACAAAAATAGACCAATAATTGAATTGGAGAAATGTTCACGAGCTGGAGCTTGAAGCCGAAGATGAGGACGAAGCCAATATTTCTTAAACCCCTTATAGACTCACCACACCAGCCTCGGGATGCCTGTTCCTGCCGTTGCTGAATGTGGAGGCCAACGTGGATGAGCAGGACTCGTCGTAGAGGGCGGTGCGCCCGTCATTGATGGCCGAGTTGATGGAGATGGTCCACATGCTAGACGCGTACCCGTCACAGTTGCAGTCGTCGTTTGGGCCACCGTCTCCTGAGGCCCACACGTAGATGCTACCCTTGCCACCACGTCCCTTTGAACAAAAGACAAAATATGCTAATTGAAACTGAAATAATCGGTCCCTGATTTTCACCATACATGCGTCAAAGTAGTCCTATAAATCTAGAATCCCTACAATCAGTTTTACCCTGTGCTTTATAATGTTAGATTATAAAGATCAAGGAGTAATGTTTTAACGAAAAAACTACCTTTTTCTATATTTTGGGCGTTTTGCAACCCCCTGAAAAAAGGCTTTGATTTTAGAATGCTTTCTTGCGCAAAAACAGATTGCGAGTAGACTCGTTATCAGTTCTTACATTATCGCTGCTGATAGGGGGCTAAAACAAGTCTACCCTGCGAAAACTGAATTTTATTATCGGGTGGCAAATTTCATAAGATTTTTTTTTCGTGCGATGACTCATTCTCAAGTGAATTACTTTTGTTTTGTTAGAAATATACGGTGGCAATTTGAACAAAACTCGGGTGAAACTTAAAAGAACAAAGAGAGTACAACCAGTGATTGGAGAGGTTTTGAGACGAACCTTATTGACTCCATCAGCGATCGCCTCTAGTGTCAGGTCCCGCGGCCCGTCCACCGTCTTGCCGTTGTCCTGCGGCCCCCAGCTGGCGCTGTAGATATCAATCAACTGCGGCTCATGTCGCATGGACGATGCCTCGATCAGGTCGGTCATGAAGGGCTGGTCCAACATGCGAATTCCTAGACAGAAGACATTTTAGTCTTTTAATTTTTTCCTTTCTTTTTAATTGTCACAGATTATGAAACCAAGGATTCTTCAAAAGGGCACAGGGACAGAAGCCGGAAGCCTGACGAAACCTAGAAGGAGAAGACGATGATGAGTGAATGCTCAGTTTTAAAATGTCGAAGGAAAGCTCTTGACGGATTTCCGAGGGGTACCAAAGGAGTCTAGCCAATAAACAATGCAATCCACATGCCGGCCTGGGTGGGATATGAAGCCAGGCCACAAAGGTGATATACAAGGAAAGTACCGATGCGCCAACCTACAGGTTCCCCATATCCAAAATACGCCATGACTGTACTGTCAATTATCAGCGTGCATTCGGCATGGCTGACTCAAGCAGGTCATCAAAAGTCAATCACAAGTGATCCAATCCCAAGTCTGGGATAGAATATTAGTTGTTCATGGCCCTGTTTCTTTCCACCTGACTTGCGTTTTGACTCGTGATTGATAATTAAAATTATCTGTTGCTGGCACTTACAAATCCAACAGAAGATGGAGATCTATACTGCGTGCATGCCTACTTACCTGCGATTTTCGAGTTGTAAGCAATACCAACTCCGCAGATACCGTTATTGGCTACGGCAGAGACCTCGCCTGCACACCGTGTTCCATGACTACAAGAAAAGTAGAAACAGCGTACATACAGTTTAACAGTTTAATTGGGTCTTTCAATAAAAATGGTTTTCACTATAAAATTTCTTTTCAAAAAGCAGTTGTGCGAATGGAAATGTATGGGCGGTTATGGGCGCAGCTTGAAAAGAATGTTTGCTTTTTTAACACCATGATTTGGGACTTGGTCCCGTGAGTATTGATACAAATTACGAGAAGTCTTGGGGCGACAATGGTTCCAAATCTCGGCTTCGTTTTTACCTCAGACTTCGTCGTCGGCTGCGGGAATTTTAAGGCCTAAACCAAATGTACAACACTCTTACTTTTTGACTACTATTATATTGATTTGACACTCAGTAGCATCGATACTGAGCCTCCGTTCCCCAGGTTTGAATACTCAAACTATGGGACCTGAAACTAGAGCTCGAAGCCTTAAACTAATGAGTCCTTTAAGGGGCTGGTTGCTGCCACCAAGCGTTTGGAAGACGCATAATGTTTTACCTGTTGAACCAGTCGTCCGTGTATCGTGGGTACGGGAATGCATCATTACTGCTGTAATCAAAGCTAGCAGCTAGATTGAAGTTGGGCGCTAGATCGTCGTGCATGTAATCGATACCTGCATAATGATGGATACATCAAAGATTATCGATACTTGCAACATTGACTATGACTACTCAAGCAAATACGTGATAACAGTTTTATGTTGGTTTCCTAGTATGATTGTGTTGTAAAACCTGGTTAACAATAATATTAAAGGGCATTATACGATCTGGAATGCGCCCAATTGGGCTACAAAACGCGTTTTAAACGAAATAATATTAAATAGAAAAAGCATTTAAAAGTGGAATATAAACGTCCATACAACCATCCTTTAAAAACTGGGCGGTTTTGTGTTAAAGTTGTTCTTGCGAGAACCATGCAAGAACGAATTTCGGGGGTCATAATTTTGTCCCCGAAAAATCGAGCTGTTTAGTGCTAGTTGTGATCCAGTCGCACTTTTCTTTGGCACTCTGTGGACGTGTAAGAAACAACATTTGTGTATGTGAATTAGTACCACGCACATAATGTGTACCCTGCATTGATTATTTGGAGCTTTATGTAAACAATTTACCGACTTGAACATGCATATGTTAACAGCAATTGGAGATCGTTCAACCACAAAGAGAAGAACGAATGATGTATATATATTCAGACAGACTACTTGAAATTTTGAACCTGCCATACATTATAATGTAAGACACGGTTTTAGGTTTTTTTTAAAGGTAAGGATGAGGTTACATTTTGAGAACGTATAGGTTCTGATAACGATTACTCACCATCGTCCATGATTGCAATGGTCACGCCTTTACCCGTGTAGCCTTTTTTCCAGGCGGCCTCTACGTTGAGATCCAGGCCCTTCTTCCCGTTGGCCTGACCGGTATTTTTCTGGAGAAATAAAAGGCGCAATTATAATTGGAGGATATATTTACGGTACTTGCAGAGGGTCGAGACGATCCCTTGAACTGCAGCCCTTTATGCACTTTTTTCTTGGTTTACTTGAAAGTGTGGCAAGAAACTAGATTTAAATACAGCCATACTGAACGTATTACAGTGTTGCAGTCAATTGGTTTTTGTTCCGTATTGTACGTTTCCATGCTGCCTTTGGACCTCATACTCTCTAAATTCCAAAGACTGAAATTCACTCCACTCGAGTGTAGATTCACTCCCACAGTCGGAAACTAGGGACTAGACGCTATAGAGTCAAATTTCTTCAATCGTAAAGATCGAGTTTTCACTCGAGCTTCGACTGAAGTGGCTCATTTTTCATACTATTTCAATCGAAAAGGAGAGTGATTTTCACTCTTAAACGTCTAGTCCCTAATTTCACTCTTTGGAATTTAGAGAGTACCTATACGCCCACAGCATTAAAAGGAAGATACAACATTTGCAAACATAAAAAAAACCCAAATGATCAAAATATCACGAAAAACCTTACTGGATTGTTAGGGAATGACAGCAAAGCATTCTGTAAAATCGTGGCTACTGGTGTGCTGACATTTTCAAGAAAAATTGTATTTTTCCAACGCTGGTCGGCCGACCAGTGTTGGAGAAAACTGGCTTATTTTCAAAAATTGCTCCTACTTTTTCATATTTAGTTATTTTCTTTGCAATTGATTACACACCTGTGAAGGAGTACAAGCCTGCCAGACTGATTTTCTGACCTTACAATCCACCTAAAGTCTACAAATTGCTCTGTTTCATCTTAAGTTGGGTCAGGGAACCAGACTACAAGAACATGATTGGTTTTCTTGGTTTTTCCAGCATCTACAAGCCCAAAACGTGAAACAAGTCAGTTTAACAATATTTGCTATTACATTCTAATCCTCCAAATCCATTTATTTCTGAAAATTGCAGCAAAAGGGTCATACCATGTCAGACCAACGCACTTTTTTACCTTATGTCTTCCGATTTTGATAAAAAATTGCTGTGCTTGTAGGTCTTGATGAGCAATGAATGCACACCAATTTTTAGACCGATCCGACCTACGATATGGTCAGGGCAGAAACCACAAAAACCGGACATTTTTAGAGTAAAATACCACCCTTTTGGTAGAAATATGTCAAAACCATGTCCATGTTCATCAAATATATGCGAATTTGGTATCAATATAATAAGAATTGCATGCTCAAATCAACTCTTTTGTCCAAATTAAATTTTGTGAAAAGTAGGTCACGTGACCTTTAATATGTTATCGTGACCTTTGACCCAATTTATGTACTAATATAAAAATGACTTAATAGAGCATGTCTCCTTCTATCAGAATCCACTAAAAATCAATTGGGGTCTTCAAAATTTACAACTTTATGACTATTTTTGTACAGTTGGTAGGTTACAAATTAGTCAATTTATAGACTTTACATTACAAATCCACCCACACAACTTACTATTCTGTTTCTAAAGGTACTTAAATTAATCTTGGTTTGGGAATTTCTCATGTTTAGGGCTGATGAGGTCTAACCAGACTCATAATATAAATTAACAGCAGTGGCGCACCCAGGATTTTGCTGTTTGGTGGGGGGGGGGGGGTCTCATAACTTGTTTGTTTTCAAATTTCTGTAGAAGATTGAAAAAAACCCTCAAAATTCAAACAAACAAATTGACAACCTTGGAGGGGGGGGGGGGGTCCAGCCCCTCGAGGCCCCCCCCCCCCCGTGCCACTGATAATTAGTTATCCCACGAGTGCGCTTTGAATTGAGGGCTCCCCACCCACCCCGGGGTGCCACTAATAATTAGTTATCCCACGAGCGCGCTTGGAATATGAAACAATGCAATGCTGCTGTGACCAGTGGCGTCACCAGACTTTTCAGTCTGGGGGGGGGGGGGGGGGGGGCACAGGGGGGGCACCAGCATTTGATGGGGGGGGGGGCGCACTTAGGTGGATACGGATCGCCGTCCTGGGGGAGGGGTCTAAGGGGAGGGGGTGCATACGGAGGATGGGCTAGATGCAAAATGGTGCCACATTTGATGCTAAATTCGATCTGAAGATATCTCCAGAAATTGCTATTTTTGAGGTAATGATTTTAACAACGCGCAGAATTTTGCAGAGGATAGGGGGGCACCAGCATTTGATGGGGGGGGGGGCACTCGGGGGGGCACTAGGTTTTCAGGGGGGGCACGTGCCCCCCCCCCCCCCTGGCCCCCCTTGGCGACGCCACTGGCTGTGACCCATATGCCACCCGACGCACTACATTATTCCGTGTTCCACGAGCACAAGTGGGCTAACGAATTTATCTTCAAGCAAACTGGACGTCGAATGCTTGAGAGTCGATTGTCATCAGCAGTTACTGTTCAGGGTACGCAACAGCTCTATGCTTTCTACCCGGACCCAGTACAGCGGACACACATCCAGGTGAAATTTATCTCGAAGGAAAAAAAAATGCCAAATCTGTGAGACTCATTCAATTTCAAGAAGCGCAGTGTTGAATGAGTAAGGTAACTTTGATTGCGATATTGAGTATTATCTTCAAGCAACATTGAATCCTACACCCTGATTAGTCCATCTATAGCAACAACAGTGTGATTTGATATAATACTGCACAGCTATACTGCATCCCAGATATCGAATGTACATGTACATGTATGTATTGTGTTCTTTTTATTTGCTGCTGAACGGTCCGATACACTATGCACCTACATCCCTCACCACGTACAATGTACGCATTCGACGTCAAGTTTGCTTGAAGATAAATTCGTTATGGCTCGTGGAACACGGAATAATGTCGTGCGTCGGGTGGCATATGGGTCACAGCAGCATTGCATTGTTGCATATTCCAATATTGTTTCATATTCCAATAGCTCTGCGGCATTAGCCACGTCCACAGAGTTATTAAATTAATTTTAAAAAGCTCCAGACATTTTTCTCGTGCCTGATTTGACAAGCATTTTTTGTGTGCTGGTGAATCTTCTGTACTTTGCGCATGCAGCTCTATGAAAATTGACCTCAGCTCTTGTATGTATAGTCCACGGTGTGATCAAAATGCTCAATATGGCGTCAACAGAGCATGAAAGGAACGCGCTCGAAAAGTGTCAGACAGCGGCCGTGGCCGTGCGTCACTGGTGATATCAATCATTGTATCTTCCACTGAGGTACGTCAAGTAATACTTGCTCAAAAAAAATGCATAGCATGGCATTTTTAACACCTCGGCGTTATGCATGTGTTGTCAAATTGGGTATACAATGACTAGAGCCGCTGTCGACAAATGAACTGCCTAATTAGTCTCGTTTTAGGTGGAGATTTCCCCATCAGTCAAATACATTGTGTACACGGGATTTTGCCGACAATAATTACTAATGGTGGGTGTGACACCCCACACACATCCCCCTGTAGCGCGCGACGCCCGTGATTGTGTCATTTTCGGCAAATATGCCAACCTGAACAGTACCACCCAGCAGTGTTGTATTGGACTCCATCACAAGTCCTCTCAAGTCCTCCAGTACTAACTCAAACTCAACTGATCTGTGACGAAATCATTCCTTTGTTATTACAGTGTTCACCCCTGTTTCTTGTACTTCCTTGCGGCCGATGAGGGGGTGCTTGTGAACAGAGCGGATAGTGTCAGTTATGTCGCAATGTTTGATGCCCCCCCCCCCTTCATCGGCCAGCTTCAGACAGGATCATATAATTATACGGGCCTGATGGAAGTCGACAAATTTGCTTCACCAAACCCCTCCCCCCCCCCCCCCAAAGTCTTTGCTACCCCACCCACGTGCTCCTTATAATTGTGCTTACAACAGTCCAGCCAAAAAACTCACCAGGAACCATTGTTTAGGTATGAGCGGATCGTTGAAGTCCGTCCAGCTCTTCTCTGTGTCCTTGTCTTGACCCGATTCTCCGCCCGTGTCAGTGCTGGTCGTCTTGGCGGCCACTTCGCGCCTGAACCTCCTGAACGCCTGGTGCAGATCCTTGAAGCCTCTCTTGTCCCTCTTGAAACCCGTCTGTTGGATGACCCGCTTTATCTGCGCAAAGCAAGGGCAATTAGTCTCTAATAAAAACACATCTCATACATTTTCCTGGGGGATTGAAATATCCCGTAACTGTGATTGGCAGTGAGCAATTTTGGCCTCTAGTAGATTAGCAGAACTTATACTTAAACTTTATGTAGGGTTTTAACTGAGAGGTCCTTTTTTTTGGGGGGGGGTTTCAAACTGGATAAACCGTGGAAATTACAAAGGTACATGAGGGTTCAAATATTGCTACGTCCGGCAAAACCTCAGAAATCTGGTAGCTTTTTCAATTTGTCAAAAACCAAGAATGTAAGATATTCTGGGTACTAATTTTCTGGGTACAATTTTTGTACCTATTTTTTCCCATTTTGTTTGCATAATTTACTGCATCGGGGTAACCTGGTTGTTCACTAGTCACCAAATACTTTGGGAATGTCTTCGGCACTCAAACAATGAACCTTGGATCTTCGTACCGTATACTACGGGACCTGAATCCAACAGATGTGGTCACGGGTAAGACTTTAATTGGGGGCCATAGCCTATACCCCCGAAACACAACTAGGTATAGATAGTAACTTCAGTCAACCTCAATATTTTTAAAGTTACTGAGAAACAAATATTTAACGTACAAATGGGTCGCAGTAATTTCCCTTTAATCAAGCAGCTTGACGTCAGCATCTCATTGCATATCCGTTCTGGACAATGGCGCCCGTATAGATTCTCAGTGCAAATACCATGCAACAAAAGGCACACATGGCGGGTCGTGGTGCGATTACATGACCGTCTGTGCTTAGAGTGCGTGATACGCTTATTTATGTATGAACCTACGTCATGCCGCTACCATATGGACGAATGATAATTTGCTTTGCCTGCCAAACTGTGGAGCGGAACACAGTAAATCTTTCAAATCAGAATCGGCGGAAGTCATTATCGACGTGTCAAAGAACGGCAAACAGCAAACAGCGTTACCGACAATTGTTCAGAGGTAATTCTTCTTGGCATGGAGTGTTTTAGGGGAATAAGGGATGTTGTCTTTGTATAATTTTACTTGACAGTTTCAAATAATATGCTTTTGCGGCAAGATAAATGGGAATAAATCCTGCTAGTGCAAGATTAGCAATTCAAACGGAATCAGCGGTTCCATTTACTGTGGGTTTTTCGTTTAAAAAATATTACAGATACTTAAAAGTATAAATTGCTTTAAAAATTGTCAAAAAGAAAGCGACTTCTGATCATTACGTTGATATTTCAAGTTTGAAAAAGGATGAATAATGTGAAAACAAAGATTCACGGAAACGTTGTTTTGGAAAACGGCACCGCGTGCAAAAATGTGCTGCGTTTTCATAATTGTATTGGTAAAATGTTGTTCATTTTTAAATATAGCATAAGTGACTTCAGCTGAAAAAAATCGTTATTAAAGATTACGAAAAATGTCGTAAAAGAATGGAAATTATTCGAAGATTTCTCAAACACACTTTGCTTGTTTTTACCTTACAGATTTTAATTTGTTATACTTTTTCTTCACAAAAAGCATGTTTGCGTTTGTTTTTGATGTTTGTTTTGTTTTGATTCTTGGGCTAAATCAGCTTGTATATCATTTCATGCCATTCTAAATGTCATTCAAATTTACACTGAATGTTGTATTGATAAGAAATGCAATTTCCATGGAGTCCCCTGCGCTTCCCCGCGGAGGTTTTATAAGATCGTGACCATGCATCAACAATCAACTAACGTGTGACGTCGATAGACCGTATACTCAGAAGATAATCCCGCAAATGGCTCGATAATAGGCACAGCTTACGAGAAAGAAACCCTGAGATATAACTGGCCTAACATGTGACTCTGAGACCGGCCATCCGAAGATATACCCGCGGCGAAATAATCACTGATTTCCCCCGAGTGTCTCCACGGAGCCACGCTATAAACTTTCTCATGTGCACGGAGCAACGTGAACCAAGACAGCCCTATTTACGACATTAACTCAATAAGCTTCCCATGGAAATGCCCAGGCCACACAGATCTCGCGTGAAATCTAATTTAGTTCCCTGGCCATGGCGAGTGGTGCTTTTCAAACCATCGTCGGTTACTCCGCACATGGCGAAGAAAAATTGAATTATCCCGGCGCCCAAAACGCAAAAAAGACTTCGCAATGAGGTCACATCGGGGTCCTCGGAAAGAAATGTTACTCAATGAATCACACAATTGGCGTCCGCACCATCCGCAACAGTGACACGTAATTACACTGATAATTGTAAAAATTAAAAGTGTGGTGACCTCAACTGACAGACATAAATGTAATGGATGCATTGCTTTGTTAAATGCATCGCGAGAATACCTTTTTTTTTTATTTAATAGCAATATGCAAGGTTGTTGCCATTCATTACAGTTAAGAAACTTGGCCAGGAAATTAAATTGACTATTATTTTTTCTAACTTGAATATACACAATATTTCATTTTTGATACGATTAAATTTTAAGGTCAACAATGTCAATTAAGTACGACGGAGAAATCTCTGGAAAATGCGGATGTTATATGAAAACAAAACGTAGTCACTATTGACTGACCTTTTTACTGTACGTGCTCTTCATCGATTCGATTTTATTTTCCTGACGTATTTTCAACTTGTATGTATTATTAAATTACAAATAGTCTTATTTTTTTGAGTGATTATGTTACAAATTGTCTTATTATTTTGGCATTTATTTTGGGTTGTTATTCTGCACAAACAGATCGGCTTGCGAGTAAACTGGCTCCCGGTCCTTACATAATCGATCTGAGTACTAGGGAGGCAGGAACCAGTCTATCCTGCGAGAACGGACTTATTGTGGGGCCTCAAACAGTTCGAAATCAGTAAACTTATTATTTCATAATCTCAACGTGGTGATTTTTTGTTTGATACCCATTAAAAAGTGAACCACGGTTGTATCAATTGCTGGAGAAATAGCAAGTTAAAAAAGGCAAATTTATTTTTCGAGGTTAAACTCGAAAATAGCACGGAGAGTAAGCCTACATCTTTAAGATAGATGCCTCCAGAATTTAAAAAAAATATATTTTGTATAATGTTAGCGTTCTGCGGTCGCCGAGAAAGAAATTGTAAAACAAAATCAATAAAATCCGGAGCCTTATTCAAATCAGGGTTTTTCATTACTGCTCAACTCTCACTCTTTTTTTTAGTACGGCAGATATGTGATGAGATTGTTCATTTGAATTTGACACACAGTCAGAGTATGTCATGAGAAAGATATTTGGCTATAGGGCTATCGCAGATTTGTCCTCTGAAAAAATATAGGTAGAATAACAAGCAATGGCAGCCATTTTGAAAATTTTTAAAATTTCATGTCATTTTCCCTATATATTTTTTTCAAAGGACAAATCTGCGTTGGCCCTATAGCCAAATATCTTTCTCATGACATGACAGACTCTGGCTGTGTGACAAATGCCTTGCTTTTATCATGAAAGTGCACAATCCCCCAAATATTTCCCCAATGGTTGCAACCCTGCAAAAAAAATCCCATAGACGCTAGTGCTAAATGCACATAATTTACTCAGAACTCTCGCAGGTATTCAAGCTGCACAGCAAATGATGATCAATGTGTACGTGTCATCTTTCATTTCCTTTTCATTTTTTTGGTGGGTTGACCATTGACTTTTCGAGATATTCTCACCCAAAGAAGACGACCCCTATTTTCCCCAAAGCGGAAAAGTAGCCATCTTGAAAAACGATCCCTCCACAACAAGGCAAAATAGCGCCACTTTTCGAGCCCAATAGCATCCAAAATGCTCAGAATTGGAAGCCCCAAGTCCGGGCCAGAGGTTCATTACCATATCTCTTCAATTCCCCAATTTTATGGCTCTCAAAACTCTCTAATATAGAATATTTTGAGGGTATAACTCTTATTCATGAACTCGGCGGACGGATTTTTTGCCTATTTACAGGCGTGCATCCCAATCTGCCCCACTATTAAATAAACTACCCACAATGCTTTGCAAAGAAATCACGTTGCATTGTGGGTAGGTTACTTTATATTCCGTGCCCGTATATCCTGTGCGCACAGGGGATTGTCGACCCGGGTTACTATAGTGAAGTTATCCGATGAGAACTCAAAGAAAGTTGCCATCAAAAACATATTAACTCCCGGGATCCCTTGCCGAAATACATACAGCTTTAATTCAGTTCTGGATATAATATTATTATGCACAAGACCTGCTCTGGGCGATGGCTGTATCAAAGTAATCACGTTGGTTATTCAACAAGGCAAACCGGCATTGGATTTCATAAGTGAAGATTTTGTTCGGCGAGTACACGGCATCCGCTTTGTTCCAAGTGGCGCGCTCAAGATGGACAGTACATTCCACCCCTGAAGCCAAACACTCCGGTATGAAGCCCGGGAAGGGACAGGGTGGAATTTTTTTTTGGCATTTGCTAATTCGTTCGCACGAATTCGTGGGAACGAATTCGTAATTCGTGCGAACGAATGAGCAAACTCCAGTAATTCGTTCGCACGAATTAGTAATTCGTTCGCACGAATTAGTAATTCGTTCGAACGAATTACTAATTCGTGCGAACGAATTACTAATTCGTTCCCACAAATTACTAATTCGTGCGAACGAATTAGGAATTCGTGCGAACGAATTACTAATTCATGCGAACGAATTAGCAAATGCCAAATTTTTTTCCACCCTGTCCCTTCCCGGGCTTCATACTCCGGCTCTCCTATCTCCTATATTTTGTGTGTTTGTGTTTTCGCTCAGGCACAACATTAGCTGAGCCCGAATGTTTTCATGAGCAGGAAATTGAGCAAAAATGTCCGCCTCTATACTTACCATAGGTTCTGCCTCTAGCGTCTGCACATGCTCAGTGCTTCGCCGTCGCCGGTGCGCGTGCGGTGAACTCCGTTTATGCACAAAATGATGTAAGTTATCCTGGCCCAGTACCTTTATAAAAAAATTAGAATCATAAAAGAAAAGATTCATTAAAACCAATTAAGGCACTAACATCGTTAAATGAAGTGTCAGTGTGTTTTGCTTTGTTTTTCGAAAACTTCCAATTTTCCTTATCCCACTTTAGTTAGAAATATGTTATTTTTATACGAAAAACATTTGATGTAAATAAACCAAGTGTTATTTCTTTGATTAATTCTTTCTCTTTACCATTTTTCCAAGCAGTTAAGCAATGACTGTTTATTTTTTTATGCGTGTGCATCATTATTATGACTGGTTCCAAGAACACTATGCGAACACAGCGTTGGTTCTGGGGCGAAGTACCCTCTTTAGTTGTATGTAAATCTTTACTTTAGTCACAGATGAAACAGTAGAAATAGTTTCTCGCTAAAGGTCTACTTTATTTTGAAGTATAGGAACGAATGCGACTGATGCCAAATTATTGTCAGGGTAAACTGTAATTTTGCCCGTTAAATATGCAGTTTTAGCGATATGTGATAGAAGTACATTATTCCTATACGAAGGAGCGAATAAATCTTATGCCTGTGCATACAAGATACGTTGTGATCATTTTGTTTTAATTTAAAGGATTTTATCAAATTTTACCGAGGACTTTACGTGCTATTTTGTGTATGTTGTTTGTTGAATTTCCGCTAAGGACCCGAACTCATCTGCATCGACAAAAATGTAATGTTTCATTAAAGTCTTAGTTGCCCGGCAACGTACAAAATCTTACCAATGACGTCAACATATTCAACTTTTTCTATTCGCCCTCGCTAATTGAATTATTCGGCTACCATATATTATCAAATGTTCATGCAAATGGGTTTTAGAGCTTACGTTTATTCATTTTACCTGAAAAGCTCGATACAAACGATACGATGCTCGAATTCACGTTGCTTGAAGCGAAACAGGCACAAACACGGGTTATGGTATAGCATTTTCAGTACAGTTTCAGAAACGGTGCGAATACATTTGTTATCAAGCTGCTAGGCTTGCGCTTACTAAATAATTACGGGTCGTTCCGTTTTGTTAATGTAGCAGACAAAGGCACATACCTTTGGCACATATCTGTCACATTCACATCAGGTTTGAACAGAACAAATATACATCGGCAGCGTCAGCGCTCAACAGACTTTGGGATCCTCTTCTGCTTAAATTTACAGAGAGGTGCTGGTAACTCGGCAGTATGTTTTCTCTTACTCAAAGACAAATAGTGTGCAATCTGAAAGTTCCTGCACCTCCTACGTCCTCTGCGTGATGTGAATTTGTGTAGACGAAGACGAAGAGAGTAAAAGCTGGAAAAATCAGTGATGACGATGGAAACCTCAGTTGTACTTTGAATAGGCCTAGTATGTCCTTTCGTTCGATATGTTCTACCTTTTTTCCCTCAATTTGTCTGGTAACATGCACGCGTGACACCCGATGCTCTACTCTTGCAAAACGTTTGAACAAAATGTACAACATGTATGTATATTTACTCGATAAAAACAATTAACTTCAAAGGTTTTTAAAAAAAAAAGTGTTGTCCGTTTAGATTGCAGAATGACAAAGAACAATGCAGGAAGACACTATTTATACCTCAAAACAAATTTGTCTTGTCTCAAATGAGCGGCTTTTTAAAATTCAGTGCGGGCTTCCCTCCAGAAATTGTCTCGAAAATTATTCATGTAGGTCCAAATTATTTATGAACTTTTACTGTGTTTACACGAAAAAGTACATTAAAAACGTTGCAACGAAGTGAAGAAAACAGATAAATAAAATCCCCGCTAATGGACTGTTGAATTTACAATGAGAAAAATTGCCTCAATTTGTGTCATAAAGACAAGCCTTTGATCGTATTGACGTAATTTAATTTGAACAAAAGATAAAGGCCGGACGCCTCTGTATTGAGGAATTTCACGTGACGTCACAAATATGCATGCCCACTTCCGAAATTCAGGGAAAATGCTCACAACTATCCAAGGTGTTTGAGACACACATCAAATTAAAGCATATTTCATCATCTTTCTTTCTTTTTTCAATTTTATTTCGGGTTAACCAATGACGTTTTGGAGAAAATTCCATCCAAAGATGATGAATTAATCATAATGCAATTATATACTGTACGATCAATGGATCGAGCGAAGCGCTAGACGTCCAAAAAATCGCGGATCTTTCACCGTTCACGTGATGAGGTCACGTGGATGGAAAACCTCAATACGTCCGGCTAGATAAGGAAAGGATACAGACAATGAAAACTCAGAGTCGGATAGCTTGAGAGGTAATCATAATGTCATCAGAAAAGTAGAGATTTGGGTGAAAAAGGAAACGAAATAGATAAAGGGAATGCTTACATTAAAAATGCTGAATTGAAAAGCATCGTTGAATTTTATTTGCAATTCGTGAACATCTTTAAATGACTAAAGATGTAGTGCCCGTTCTTTTCATCACGCTCGATTTTGTTTCTAATGAATTTTCAACTTGTTTGTTTAATTCTTTAACATCTTCGATTATAATGGGGCGGGAACCAGTGCGGCTTGAAGTAATTGATTTTCGGGCTACAAATAATTCGAAATCTGTACATTAGTTGTTATTCCAAGTGCACGTGGGAACATTTCATAATCTTTACTAATCCTTTTAAATAATTTTAATTAACACTGGCCGATTTCGTTCGATATCGCATTCAAAATGAATAACTTTTGCGGTGATATAGAAAATGTCGATATATGAAATAAAATCTTTTTCTTCGGGGGGGGGGGTAAACTCGAAAGTAGCACGGAAAATACATCTTGAACTTTTTTTTTCTTTGTCGAACATCATGTATTTTATTAGACCTTTAATTAATAAAATGAACAAATTTCACATCTCAATATCAATTTCGGCGGTTGTCCATTTCGTATGCTACATCCGGGTAAAACTGTACTTTTTTTGTTTAATTGAAAAGTGAGTGATGATTTTTTTGGGTTTTGGTTTTTTGTGTGTTTGGAAATAGTACTGGCAATTCCTACAGCAACCAAGAGGGCGCTAGAGCCGAACTTTTAAAAAGTGCTGCTTGTTCTTCATTGATCCTCGTTGTAGAAGTCTGGTCACGTAAAGGATTCGGGCGTTATCCATCATGGGACACACACATTCCGTGCCGACAACCTCCAACAAACAAGGATACGACCGCGAGCTTATTAATCCACATAAAAGGATACTCCGGGGCCCAGTTTCAACCTCGTACTCCCCACCACATTAATACTTTGGAATCGAAAACTGAAACGTGCCATCCGGCGATGCTCTAGCTGTTCTCAGTAAACCATTGACATTTAGAGACTTAAGAGTTGAAAACGTGAACTGGGGTTGAAACCACATATTGTCGCTTTTTCGTTGAAAAGGAATTTGTGTTTTTGCAGGATAACCTTTCTCATTTGTTGTGCCGAGTTTTTTTCATAACGTGATCACGTGATCCATTATATTACCCCATGTAAAACAAAAAGAGAGAAAAACATCATCACCCCGCAAAAGATCAACAGCATCCGACCACATAAAGCACCATATGTCTGAAATGAGCTAATGTCAGTTTTTTAGGAATGCGCAGACTGTCGTGTTCCCAGAATAAAATTCATTAGAGGCGTGCTTCCCGATCCTAGCAACGGGGCGATACGGCGATGAGGCAAATTACCAAGGCAAGCGCGCTTGTCTCCCAAGCAAAGCCCTTCCCGCCTCTATACAAACACTCTCTGTTTGAGCAGGGGAAGTAAAGAATGCAAGCTGACGAAAATTCGCTTTTATAAAAATGGACGACCGCGCTTGATGGGGAAACCGACTTACTCTAGACCGAGGTATTGGGTTTCTAGAATTGGTTTCGTATTTTGATGAATTGTGGGCCTCCGGTTCTACGCGCCAAAGCGGGTTGGATTATCCTTTTTGGCGCAGTAAATGTTTTATGCTGATTGACTCAAATCCCTGGGCTTTGCAAATTGATCTCAACGTAACCCTTTTTACATTGAAAAGCAACGAAAAACGCGAGGATGTTTTAAAAGCAGCAAGTGTTCGCCAGGAATATTTGGTATGTCATTTAATTTGAAATGGTCGAGATCCTACTACTGGTAAGCAGAATAACATGTTGTCATTTTGAGGTGACGGACATCATGGCCGAAATATCATCAGAAGCATTGTCGTCTTTGAATTTCATCTTGAAAATCAAACTTTGAATTTAAAAAGTTGTCAAATCGTTAGTCAAGAAAACATATGCTTTCCATATCGCCGTCTTCCCACGTCTGTTCAGCAAAACAAGCAGCGTCGCGTGAACGCTCAGATCGGTTCGTTTCTAAGCCCATTGTTGCAACAACATAGCCGAGGCTCACAAGTTTGACCTTTTAAGAGCTTGTCGCTCCCTAAAAGCGTAATTAATGCTAAAGCCCCCGCCGAACAAGGAGATAAAGTTTGAATAAATTATACTGCGACCGGCAGCTATAACCGGAGGGAATCAAATGCCGAGCGAGAGGGCGCAAAAACGGGTCTTGGTTTAAGCACCGGGGAACAGAAGAGAGAAAGAAATCATGAAGACATGGTGGGTGGACAGACAATAATGGATTCTAGCACTTAGGCTAGGAGAGAACGAAGAAGAAGCAGTGAGTGATAAACCGATAAAGGGTGAGAGAGATGAGGGATATCGTCTTGCATACTCCATCGAGGTGATAAGGAAAGAGGATTTAGTTAATGCGGGGGTTGGGCTGTAAGGCAAATGGTAAAGCAATAGGGCGGGAGGGGAAGGTTGTGGTTTTGTCCGGCTTCAGGTCGATTTGGTTTGTCTTGGTTAATTTGCTTTCCTTCGTTCTGGTTGATATCGGCAGTTACAGTGTTCATTGTTTCTCCATGCAGTTCTGTCCTCCACATTGGCCGAGTTCACTTCTGATCTGTTGTTGTCGATTTGCTAGCCTTTATTTGATCGACTATTCCGATAACTAACACACTGCATGACATGACCAGCCAAGTCGTCCATGTTTCTGATCGCATAATTGCTTTCT